TCGGCCTCCTTCTCCCTCTTCCTCTCATTGTCAATGTCCTCTTGTATGCTCTTGGGCGTCGGCGGGGGCTTTGGGGCGGCAGCGCGCGAAGCCCAGGGCGTCAGATTGGACAAGAAGCCCGGCCTGGAGTCGGGGGCTGCCATTCGGTCAACCTGCGGGGCGTCGCCGCCGGCCCGTAGTTTTTCCAGCCAGGACGGGGAAGAGTATCGCGAGACCCGTGGGGGGAGCCGTGGAAGATGCCTAGAGTGGCGGCAGGCGCGACGTGTTGACCTGGGAAGTAACGTGGTGGGCGGGTTTGGGGGGGGAATACACGCACTGGAGGCTGCAGAATCAGTTCGCAGACATGTGACGGAGGGCAGCAGGGATCAGGCACAGGCACAAGTCAGTGTCTTGCATGCGTGCATCCACTCAACTATCTAACTTGTCAACACCAATCCCGCCGCGGGGCCGCCCTAGTTCCATAGTGCAATGGTGCGCGGGGCAGCCCGGTGCCCATCCCAAGGGCCCGTCCTGTCGGAGGCACCCACCTCCACTACTGTCACACTGTCACCTCTTCGCTTCGTCTCCCTTCCAAAACACCCGTGGGACCCCCTCACTTGCACTTGCACTTGCACTTGCACTGCCACTGCACGTGACTTGCGCAGTGTCCCCACTATCCATGCCATGACGTCCTGGAACACTCGCTCGTCCTCCATCCCTCGCCACTACCACCGCCTGGCCAAGCCCGAGCGCTTCACCGTCACCGATGCAGTCCATCTCAAGCTCAAGCTGCAGGCCGTCGATGCTGCTCTCTCAAAAGTAGACGACACGCAGCCTGAAACTGTCGACATCAAAGGCGCCATCGCCGCGTGCCGGTCGCGTCCATTTCACGAGACCGTCTACGTGAATGGGTCAGAAGACTTCTATTTGCTTGTAAAGGCCATCTCTCGGCCAGACCTGATTCCACATGTCTACATGAATGCATTCTGCGCTGTGTCGCAAGGCAGACCATATCTCAACGAATACAAAGTCTCAGACTTTAGAAAGGGTGTGGATCCTACTTTTTCTGAAATACGTCCTCTGCTTGCTCAGATTGACGCCGCGTGCGACACAAACCTGGAAGACGCCTTCAACAAACTCGAAGCAAAAGGCAAGCGCCGGTAATATTTGGACAACCCACACATTGCTAACAGCCCACAGTCAAGCCGTTCAATTTCCTCCAATTACCTGCTGAGCTTCGTCTTCTGACGTATTCTTTCTTACTTCCTCGCGAAGCTCACCTGGCACTCATCTACCAGCCACATCGTGAACACAAGACACCACGCATTCGTCTTGATGTGCTAAGAACGAACAAGCAAGTTCACGATGAAGTCGTTGGGTACTTCTACGAAAAGCGTACTTTATTTCTTGTCGCTGCGCGAGACAAGGCAAGCCAATCCCTCAGCAACAACTACCTTTCGCGCTTCTACGACATGGTCGCTACCATGAACCCAAAAACGCGCGAGCTATTTGAAAGGCTTGAAATACAAGTATCCTACTTGTCAGGGCAGACAATCACGCTGAAGCGCTACCCATCGATATCCTTTGTGGCTGACCCAATGCGGGATCTCTTTGCTCTACTGCCAAGAGTACAAACGCTAGTCATCGCCTTTGGACCAACGCCCTTCATCGCCGGTGAGAACTGGGGCATTATCCGGGAGAAGCTTGAAACGGTGTATTGGTTGATTGACTGTGTTCCCCCGGCAATCGATGTACGATGGGACCTCACCCGAGCTTTCACAAATCGGTTCAAGGTGGATGAAGGTCCGCTAAGACGTATTGTTGCCAAAAGGGGGACTGTGCATATGGGGGAGAGTGTAAGCTCGCAGCTTGCTTCTCGGCGGAAAAGCCTTTTACCCGACCGGCCATAATCGGTGGCTTTCTCACTACCGTTTCTTGCGCATCCCAAGACTACAACAAGCCCCGCGTACCTCACGGCTGAGGTCTGGGGCTCACTTGTAATCTGCTCCATTACGCGAAGGTCCCTACTCCACACGCTTATATCATTCCATCACCAATACTATGAACGACAAGACTCTCGACGGTGCGGTCAAGAGGGTGCTAAACCCTTGCGTGACAATCATAGGGGACATTGACCGCGGTGGAATTTAAGTGGGCGAGCGTGGTCAAGATTTGGAATGACAGTCAGACTCTAATGCGTCAATCAGCCTACAAACCCGCAGATGACACTGCCGCCGTAAGCAAGAAGCCGCAAGAAATGATGAAACTGCAACTTGTGAAGCTCCGCGAGGAGCAAGAAGAAATCAATCATTCGAACCTGAAGAGACTCAAGAGGCACGCAAATGTCGAGTACAAGAGTAGATTCACACAGACTCTTTAATTTGTCCTACAGTACCAGGCCAACCAAACACCATGGATTGAGTTCGCTCAGCAGAATATCGACTCCTAGCCATGACCACCAACACACCAAAGGATTCAGGACGCATTTCATCCGGTCAAAACTCGAGTTCCAACAATAATCAAGACTCCCTTGAGGAACGGCGGCGTAATTGCATAGGGTCAGTGACTTGTGCGGCTTTTCCCATAGCATTATGGGGGGGCGAGTTGTGTGCGGCGGAGGCGGATGGCGGAGGGGCTAAAACGAGTTATTTGTTGAAGTTTACTGGGCTGTTTGTGGCAGACTGGTGGGGGCCCGCTGTCGTAGTCGTCATGATCTGATGGAGCCGGTATTCTTTTGAAGAGTCTAGTGATGATGCTGGTGCCGGGCTGCTTGTGCTTTTGGCTTTTTAGCGTGCATGGCTGACACGGGAGTTTTGAGAGACAGCTCGAGGTTGGTTCGGCCTCTGGAGTCGAGTTGGGCAAGTCCTCCCAGCGACAAGTGCGCCTGTTGATTGAGGAGGGTAGTGCAGATTCGGTGGCGTGGGGGCTACTTTGACCAAGTGTATCTTCGGGCGCTGTTTCTTCGCGCATCATACCAGGCGCAACTCCATCTGTCCAACCACTTCCCGAGAATGTGGGAGTATATGCATATCCACTACCATTTATCCGCCTCTTGTTGTGGTTGCGCCGGTCCATCAGCGTTCGTGTCGCCGCAGGAAGAGCGCAGAGACCCGGCCATGGTGCACTTTCCGAGGGCGCTCGAGCATGGTGGCCAGCTGCGGGAGCATGACAATACTGCGTGTGCAATTGCAATGCAGAGACTAGTTTGTGCTCGGTACGCTGTTGATATAGCGGCAGATTCTCGGCACTCGAAGGCGGCAGAAACGTAGAGCATGATGCGAGAAGTTGGAGCGCGATGAGTGTGACTAGTGGTGTGTCGAACATGTTCGGATCGAATTGGCAGGACGGCCCAACCGGATCGGTAATTCTGAGCTGCGAGTAAAGTTGAGTTGCGGTGGGGAGACTCTGGGTTCTTTTTCGTAAGGAATGGGTATGCTTTGTAGGTAGTGCCAAGGGCGGCATCTCACTGTGTGACGATCATTCTTCTTCGCAGTCCAAAAGTCGTCGTGTTGCTGGAATCGATACCAGTTTGCAATCTCGCACTTGATTGTGTCTTCGTTTTGCTGTGCGTAGGTTGTATTCGGTTCGTGCGTTTGGCTGGTGAGAGATGCATCGCGGCTTGCATCTGCGACGTGGTCGATGCGATCCAGGACCGGGAGTGGGCGTGTAGCATCAACAGCTTGCCGATTTGCCATATTGATAGTTCGAGGTCTGCAGAGTGGTAGAATCATGCCAGAGTGAAGGGTCAGTCTCGAGAGTGCACCACGTGGGAGAATCGTGATGGTGTATGGATGTATATGTGCTAGGTCGGATAGGTAAAGTGGTCTCATAGGGTGGGAGACGGGTGCCGCGGACATGTGAACCACGTATGCAGAAATCATGTAAAGGAAAGAAGGAAGGTAAAGGTTATTATCGCGCTGGGGTATCTGGCTCTTACTCCCTCACTCACACCCCATAGTAGCTGCCCCAACCATGGTGCTGCTTGCCAGAAACATGCTTCTCAGCGTCGTGAAATGACATCTTGACCCTATGTCCCACCCATTGTAGCATCGCTGGATCAATCACGTACAGGCTCCGATACCAAACGTGTGCCATCAGACGTACTCAAAGTAGCCAAACGATTCTTATCTCCTCTTTTCTCTTTTGCCAGATTCAATTTTGCAAGAAAGCCTGTCGGAGCCGATTTCGCAGATTGACTCGCAGGCTCCGTCGAGGTGGCTTGGGTAGTCGAGTCCTGAACGTCCTGTTCGTTGGTGGGCGAAGACGGCGTACCACCACCAACATCCTCGAAGAGATCATCCCGCGGGCGCAGACGACCAGCCTTCGCAACCAATTTCGCAGAGCCAAGGGAAATGAGATCAACCGCCGGCAACGACCGCAACGGCTCACCAACACCCGTATCAGGCTTCACAAAAAACATGTCTGTGCCAATCGTTGCGGTCCAATGGCAGCTCAGTAACTGTCCATTATACATGACGAGTGGATTGGTGGTGTGCAAGCCAGTAATCTGGACCGTGCCCATACTCGTGTCTTCCTGACCTGCTGGGATTTCGATGCTGGTTTCAGCGGGCCCTTGACTCAAAGCAACGTTCAACGCGCGTAGCCTGCTCTTGAGTAGTGTCGGGTGGCCAAAGGAACCTTGCGATACCATAGGAACTTGTGCGCCGGGGACATTGGAGAGATCGAGTGGGATGTAGAAGTCTTCGGTTGAAGTCTCGTCGTACTCATACTCCCATTCGTCGTCGTTATCGTTTGGCTGAGTCATGTTATGTTGCGTTGGTAAGGTTGTGGGATTGCGAGAGCAAGGAAGCGAAGTAAGAGGGGAGCTAATGTGGGTGACAAGTGGGGGGAACTCGACTGCCAAGATGAGGGGTCGTTGAGATCGCACATGCAGGAAAATTTGTTGGAAGAAAAGTACTGAAAAGAGGCACGCCGGTCGGACCTCTAACTACTAATGATATTTACGATGTAAGTTTTGATTTTCTCATCGAAACATCACAAGCGCAATCTCGGTTGCACAACTCCGCTTGGTGTAGTTGGTTTGTATGTTAACCCAAACACTTCCTCAACACAACCAATAACTAACAATTCCTCAGATCACGTTCGACTGTAATAGCAATTGTTATCGAAAGGTCCCTAGTTCGATTCTGGGAGCGGAGAAAGCCATGTTTTTTATTTTTGATGCGTGCTAGGTCAGAGCTCCGTATTTATTGTGGCCCTATCTCCTAGTAACAGCAAATCGCTGAAGCCTATATAGCAGTAGAGAGACAATAGAGGCACTAAAAGTTATTATATTATAATCTCTATTACTTTCAAAGAATCTAAGTAACGTCTAATTATCACTAGTAGTGCTATAGTCTATTATATTGGCTACAGTAAACAGTAAGTGTAAGTAACTTTAGTGACGTAATAATTTCAAGCTCCTGTGTAGTTACCAAGAGCAGTGTCATTGAAAGTGTAGATAGAAGACGATTTTTTGCTCTACGGCTGCTACCTAACGCAAAGCAGCAACACCTGATTATAAAACTCAAGAACTTGGAAAGGACAATATTACATAAGTCTCCTAGGCTGTGACAGATTGTGAGAGATAGTTTATCACAGTTCCGACTGTAGTTGCGATTCAAATGTTCGTGATGAATAGCATGCTGATGATAATGAATAAGTAGTGAGGGTATAAACCAAACCAAAGACCATTCCAGTCTAAACGCCCAAGATCCCATCTTGATTTAATTACTCCAAATCCAAGATTCCGTCATATCGTAAATCCATGCAAGCGTCCCATGCCTTATGCTAGTCGAGAGGAGAAATATTCTATGCCAAATGTAAAACGTCGTGTCGTGAACCATCATCCCTCTTTCTAATCTCTACACGATGAACCCGTCATCGTCGTCTACTATCGTAACACTCCCCAGAACCGTCAGAAATAGACAAGACGTTTAAACTTCTCCTGCGACACTCCCCACACTCCCGCCCAAATCCCAAAAGTTGCCAGACATGCCACTCCTCTTGCTCTTCTTAGTACTCTGACTCGCACAGCTGGAATTGCTCCTCAATTTCCTTTCCCTCGCACCGGCTTGACTCTGGGGCGAAAAATACGCGCGATATGTCGTTGTGCCTTTTTGTTCCCTGGTATTTAGTCGTGACGATGATGTTGCAGAGGTTTGGTCAACGAGCGGATGGTGTTGTCGGATAATTGCTGCGCGGCGGGCGGATGTTGAGATATTACCATTTGCGCCAAAGGACACTGTTGAGGCTGTGGGTTGCGTCTGCGGTTGTCTCTGCGCCTGCGATGTCGATGCTGGCAATCCCCCTCGATGATTGGTGAACCTCTTGACCAAGAAATTGAAAATCATCTTGACGTCTAATTCGCGTTCCCAGTACTCCCGTTCTCTTGCCAAGTCCTCTACTATATTCGTCGTTGTCGTGGCATCACCACCGACTGCAGCAGCACCAGCATCGTTTGTCTCGGGTTCTTCTTCGATGCCCCAAAGTGAGGCTTCACTGTACACCCGTGACTCCCGAAGCGGAAAAGTGGGTGCAAATTGTGCCGAGGCAGGGGAGGATGCGGAGTTACGGGCGCTAGTCGGCGGTATAGTGCCGCTGCTGTCTGTGACTGTACTCGAGGCCGCGATACTTTCCCGCAACCCAGCGTAGTCGAGGTTCGACATGTTATTCTGGTACGTGGAGAATGCGCCGGGGTGTTCAGAAAGTTGATGAACCAGCGTGCCTAATTCCTGCGCTACGCATTCGAGGAGTTTGGTCTGCCAGGATTCCGAGAGGGAGGATGTATCTATGCCAGCTTCTTGGAGAGCCTGGTTTGTTGAGAAGGGTGTTGTGCTGTGTTGTGAAGTCGAAGTCGAGGGTGATGAGAGGGCTTCTTCAGGTAGTGTCTCGCCGAAAATGACAGACAGTGTATCTTGGTCCAGGCCGATGAGGTCGCGGATGACTCTGCGCGTAATGCGCTGCCACAAGGACAGGGACTCTGTTCCTTCTTCTGAAGAATCGCTCTGTGTACTCGTTACAGAGGGAGCCGCCTTGGATGCCGTCGTCGCAGATTCTTGCACCGCACTCCCAACCTGACTCCTGGCCTGACTAACAGTGCTCATGCGTCTCCGCCGCCTCGTCTCCTTCTCAATCTCCTCCAACAACGCCCTACTCTGTTCCAATCTCCACTTCTCGATCCTCTGCCGCCGATCCATGTCCGTGTTGGAATCCTTGTCTTCAAGCACACTAAGATGCCTCTGAACACTACTCCTCCGTCTCGCCGTCCGGCGTCGCGGGCGTTCAAACTGCCACATGTGCTCTTGCATGGTAGCATCGGGCTGGAACTCGCCGAGACCATCATGGGTCGGCAGCACCGTATCGCCACTTTCTTGTAACCTGGCGGCGGAGGCACCACCAAACTCTGAGGGCTCATGGAAGGCGTGTAGGCCATCATCTAGACTATCCAGCTCCTCTTCTGTGCCGAGACAGGTGCCGGCGTCGTCATCCTGTTCTGAGCGGGCGGCTGTGTCGAGGGAGCCGAATTCGCTGAAGCGGGACAGGCCTGCTGTCCGTGGTGTTCGTTCACTCGAGGTTGTTTGTGTGCGGGCGGTGGTGGAGGGCGCGGTGGGCGAGAAGAGGACCCATTCTTCCGACTGGTCTAGTGGCCGCTTGAGGTGTTGCGAGCTAGTTGCGGCTTCGGGGGCGGGCTCGGGTGCATGGTACGAGACCTGGCGTGCGCTCTGGGGTCGGTGTTGTTGTATAAAGGCCATGCTTGGCGATTTGGATGGTGATGTGTTGGGTGGTCGTGGTCAAGTGGCGAGGCGTGGGTAGTCGGGCAGGAAAGCAAGGCACAAGGGGGAAGTATATGTAGCCTCGCAGCCTGTGGAGATGATGCGGGCAAGACTCGACTATGTGCAAAGATCAGTCAGTCTCACGCGTCGCAGAAACACGGCGGCGTTGTCTTTCTATCGTCTCATGCTGGCTCGGTCGCTTTGTCCAAGATCCCTGGCGGTGAGGGGCGCGTGTGCGTGGGTGCGAGGGATGGGCAGGTGTATGATGTACATATGGCGCTAGAGACGCGCACTAACACGTATCCAGCGTTCCCGCTCCAAGGTTGGCGGGTGATCAGGCGTTGAATTCCGGGCAAAACAAAGACCAAGCTGCAATCAATCCCATCTAATCAAGAGACGCTACCACGCGCCGCAGCAGTCTCAAACGACATGCCTGGGAAAGGGGTGAGCCACAGCATGCAAGACACAGTCAGAGACGCGTTGGATCCTGCAGTTGAGGATCCAGTCATGGCCAGCCTCCCAACCAGAGCATCATCACATCACGTCTTGACGATAAGATAGCCCTCGAGATAACCTTAGGCCCCGCCATTACACCACAACCCACCAATCCCCTCTTGCCCGCCTGCCTTTCCCTGTGCATCCCAATCATACCCCTAACCCTACTACACCATGTACAAAACAACTCGTAATACGACCCAACGACTAATCCAACTCTTACCGCAGACTTACGCAAAAAAAAAGGCTCACACAAACCTGCCCTCCCCTGCGTGGTGCGACAACATGACGCGCACCGAAGAAGCGCCTCGCCAACGACATCATACACGGCCATCTGCAGGGTCCTGTTACACGACTCGGTATTTTGCTCCGTTGTAATAACCTTTGCAAGCAATTTTTCTGTTTTCCAGGGGCAGGGGGTGTTGCAGTACTCATGCTAAGTATATGTACATATTCTATCCTGTACTGTGTACTTTATCTAGCGTAGTGGTACTCATACTAATTGAGTAGGATATACCAAAATGATGCCCAGTCGGTAAACTGTGCCTGCTTTCTGCTTTCTGCACGCGCAATACGCAGCTCATGTCGCATCACCCACCTGCAGTTTACTCATCCACCACCAACCACCCCTCACAACTCACATACACTCACATACACTCACACTTATACTCATGCGCCATGTACACTGTACACCGGCGCAAAATAGGCATCCACCCGTCATCAAATCCCAACACAACACAACACACACACCACCTTGCACCCACATCATCTCACCTCATCTCCCTTCACAACATCACATCACTCCACCACCCATCACATCCCATCACATCCCATCACACCCTGACCGCCCAAAAAACGTTTGCGTAAAAACAATGTTTCACATTTCTCTGCAAACAAGGCGTATGTAAAATTCGCCACGTCGTAGCGACGACGTCAGTCCCGAGATTAAGCCTTTGACTTTGACGGCCTTGTTCGCCGATTTGCGGCGTGTTATTGTTGTCGCTTGTCGGGAAAGTTGCTGTGGCTGCGGGAGTGGGAGCGAGTTCGGAAGGCACTGTATGAGTAGGGCCGGGGGGAGTTGTGGCGTAAGATTAGTCAGATTGTGTGATGATTCATATACCCAACTGTGTATACTTGTGCATGTATCAAGGTTTGCTATTTAGGTATCTCAAAAGAAAAAGGATGGGTCGCCGCGGCGGTAGAGTACAATACAAACCAGTGAGCGCCAATGATCCAACGACACCAAACGCCAGAATCATTCGCAACAGAAAACGTCGCTTGCGTTGTAAATATCGTATCGCATGACATGCTCACATCCTCCCACATCACGAAGCAGAATCATATTCTACCCCCCATACCCCCCTCGCCTCATCCTCACTCATTTCCTCGCCCTCCCCAACACCCTCCCACCTCTTCACCCTACCCTTTGTATCCCCAATCCGCCGCTTGAGTATACACTCTCCGTTCCCCTGACAAATCTCCTGTCGTCCCAGGTTCTTGAATCGCGGTCCCAGCGGGCCGTTCACATAATGATACTGACCCAGGAACCTGTACTGTCTTGGATCACTCAGTGGATAAAATTTGTCGCCCCAGTGGCCTGCAAAGTAGAACCACGAGACGGGAGCGGCGGGGTTGAGATTTGATGAAAGCAGAGTATCGGAGCGGAAGTCGTAGGTGTACGAGTACATGTTTTGCACGGGGTCCCAGAGAGGGCCGCGGTCGGTGACGTCGTGTAGAATGCCGCCGGGCAGGACGTACGGGTGTAAGCCGGGCGTGGCGTACATAGCGTGGGTGCCTGTTGCGGAGAAACCTATGGGCTGATGTGGTTGTTAGCACGCACATTCGATCTGCTTTTGTAAATCCGAGACTCACCCGCTTCCCGCTCTTCTC